CCTCCACTATAAACCCTCCACTCTTCATCTCCACCAAATAACAACCTCAAGTAATAATACCTAAATCCTCATTGTGAATTAATGGAATTATAAGAAATGATGAGATTGAACATGATAATGTGATTAACCATGATGAGGTTGTGGTTACCTTGATATGATATGTGATTAATGAATTTGAGGATAATAACTATGGAACTTAAACCGGTAAAACTTGACTAAACCCTGACAGGGGGTGAGTGATGGGTAAGTTGTGTGGTACAAGTTACCTTGGTAGGTTCACCTAGTGAGGGTTCCTGTTGGGAGATACTCGTCTCGGTCACATGAGGATCGGTTCGTAGTCCCTCTCGCCTAGTACGATGTTACGTACAGCCACATGTCTATATGAGTAGTGTTGATCTCACACCCTGTTAGATAGAAGTATAATTTCTACTAGAAGGCCGGTGTTCATGCTGGAATATCGGGGAGCGGACATGGATGCTATGTGATCTTCTATGGTCCTGTTATGGTTGCTATGTAGTCTTCCACATTAAGCCCTTTGACTTTGGCCGTGTTCAAGCCCATGATTATTATTGAATATTTTGATGATTTGGTATCATCGGCACTGTGATGTTGGGATGATGTTGTATCGTCTGAGATTGTATGATGGGGTTACGTGGTGTCATCCAGAATTATGAGATGGGACGATTTGATATCCTCCTAGGAATTAGTGTGTTTTTCCAACCCCTGAGAAGCCGCGGTAGAGTTATATGGAAATCTGAGGATGCGTCCCTTCGGGTACGAGGTCTCGTTAGACCTGTCTAAGCCATAACGATGGTGTTGAACTGTGTATCATCATGGGGAAATTTGTAAACCTCTCAGAGAGTTTATCAAATCTATTTGAATAGCCACGTCCTTCAAATGGGTAGATGCTATGATAAAATACTATGATGAGACTTCTACAAGTGTCATAATCTGGTAAGATGTATTTTACTAATTTGATAACTATAATTAACTTTGGAAACTAGTGAGAATGGTAATACTCATCGGTTCCAACCTATAATTATAATTATTTTACCCTACCACTTTCACCTCCACCACCATAACCACCTCCACATATAGCCCTCCCTTCCACCACTCCTCCACCCAAAGTTTAGGGCTTGTTGAGTACTTTTATGTACTTAACCCCCCTCCATTCTACGCTTTAGGAGTTAAGCTACAAGGGGACATCCCAGGATGAAAACTTCCGAGCTACGCCAAGATAGCACTCAGGAGTATACTCAAAGATGGAGCCAGACGAGAGAGCTACGCTAGGACCGCGATGATGATTAGGAAATAGGAGTACATTTAAGGACTAAGGCTAGGGTTACGTCCAAGCACTCTAAGCTGCACTGTGGGAATGGAGCCACGTTGACATAGAACCGCTGTCTTAGAACTCGATATACGATATAAGGCCATGGCCCCAAGCTATGTAGCCCAACCATGTACCGTGATTCTCCATATTAGCAATAAAAATATGGTTTTTGATATCAATCTTGTTCGAATTGTGCTTATCAGCTACTGATCCAGGGACTGATACATGAACACAGAGGACCCTAAATTAGGGGCCCGACAGCAATAGTCTTGCAGCCTAAAGTAAATACATACATGCCTTTCAGGATGCCTACTTTCAATAATTTTTCAAAATAAGTTATAATAATTTTCAAGCATTAATCATTAGTTTTCCAAAAAACACAAAGTAGAGCTCGGGCTGGGGTTATACAGGGAGAGGAACGATGAACGTGGATGGGAGTGAAGCTCGATTTTCATTGCCATCAATAGTGCCCAGTGCCTTGATGGGACAAGTAAGGGGAAATGGTCGATTGATTGGGGAGAGATGGAGCGGGGAAGTACACAATACTATCCACTTCTATAACGAAAAAATCTTAATGATGAATTCGAAACTGTCATAGAAGATAGCTTTCTGTGATGAACATTTTCGTCTCGTCATAGATTAGTGGTGACGATCCTCCAACCCTTCCTATCTATGATGAAATCAGACATTGTCACACAAAAATGTCAGAGAACAGCTTAGGGTTTCGTCACAGATCACTCGCGCAACTGTTCCTGCTCATATGTGACAATCTTCTTTAGAACTGTGACGAACACAACTTCTTCATTGAACCAATTACTCATATATGGTGAACAGTTTTCAAACTGTGACAACCGCCACTTCGTCATAAAACCAATTTTTATTTGATAATGTTTTGGTATTAAAATTACTCATATGTGATCGATTCTTTCTAATAAAATAATCGAGCGATGTTTGGATTTAGGCTTACGTCCAAATCTAAACTAAAGCTATTATAACTTCTTATACATATAGACCTATCATTTTCCCTTAAAATATTTTCTTAAATTAATTTGGCACCTCATATAGTAATAAACGCATTTGTGATTTGGTGTCTTTTCAGATTTTTGGTGTGGCCCCATTAAATTTGGAACCTGTTCAAATTCAATTGATGTCTATATAAATTATATATACTTTTCAAAATTAGGCATACTAGTAAAGATGCCCATACGCTGCTCATTTATATAAACGTCAAGATTTCGAAGAAAAAGACACAAAAGCGCGCAGCCAAACTCTAATTGGAAAACACGCGGCAAAAGACCACGCAAACACCGGAGGCATGCAAGCTACATTGAGGAACGGGACTCGGATTGATAAAAAATGGAATAAATAAAGACCACACGTGATAAAAAAGAGTAATCGAAAAAAATACGGACGATATAAAGCACAAGAACCGAGAAAACATACGAATAATTATTTTTCCGTAAGACATACGGATGAAGAGCACGGAACCGTTTCCTTTTCGAGCCATGCACGCGCCGTGATTTGGAGTTTGGAGTTCTATCGGCGTTATTAAATTATTTGTGGCTTAATTGCGCCGTTATTAAATTATTTGTGGCTTAGTCAAACATGTGCTCGTAATAACAGGAAGTATGTGAACACCAATCACCAACTATTAGTACGAAAATAACAGGAACCAATCACCAACTTGCTTCCTTCTTTTGCTGGAGTATGTGAATACGTACACGACTTGGGCAGACTGCGGTGCACCGTGCTAAATTTATATCTATACCTAATATTAAAGAGACAAAATATTTCTCCACCTATTTTTTTTATCCGGCTATCCCTTAACTAACTTTGTGAATATGGAAAACCGCCTATAGCCTTCTCTTTATATAACTAGAAATCCTAATCCAATTAGATCAATCCGATTTCGGACGAATAGGAATCTTAATCCAAATAGGAAAAATATAATAATATGGACAACTAAAAATCTTAATCCAACTAGATCTCTCCAACTCCGAGTAACCGGAATAGGAATCTTAATTCAAATACAAAATATAAGAATAGAAATCTAATAAAGAGGAAGGAAGGGTAGAATTTGTTTGTTTCGTTTTTTTCTGATTTTTTTTCATTTTTTCCGGTTTGTCCCATTTTACTTGCTCCGAGTATGTGTTGCTTTACATTCATTTGGACGCTTTTCGCTTGGCTTCGAATATGTTCTAATGTTTTTCTTTTCTAGAGTACATTCTAATTTTTGTCATGACTGTTTTCTACATAATTGGCTTCGAGTTTACTTAGATTTTTTTCTCGTGAATATTTTTACACTAGCTCGACTTTCTTGATTTTGTTTTTATTGTTTTCTCCACCTGGTTTTTTTTGTGTCCTAATAAATATAATAAGAGTAAAAACAAGCAATAAATAAGAGATCACAGTCATTTTAATCTTTGACTTCTTAAGAATTTTTTTACAACTAATTAGTTTAATTTTTGACTTGAACTTATGACCCGTCTTTACAACTCACTGCGTATTGGATTCCGCTAGCCTTGCGACGGGCACGCTTTGCTAATATATTAAAAAGAGAGCAGAAACGCTTGTGCAAACGGACGGATGGCCTGCTCCTTTTTGGCCCATACGACCCCAACCTCCTGACAAACGGACCCCACAGTGCCCGTGTGGTGCGCGCCTACTATGCCCCACCAACCAACCAGCACCGCACGCGTCCGTGTTTTCGCTAGCCGCGCCGCGCCGTGAGTTTGAAACCCGCAACGCCCTCTCATATTTTCTCTCTCGCTGATAGCCGGGCCCGGCCGCGCCACATCACCCTACCCTGCCGCCGATTTCGATTGGAAACTGTTCTCACAATCTCACGCGCCCGCCCGGTCACGTGGACGTGGCCCACCCACTCCAAACCAAGGAAAAATTCCAGAAAATCTCCTACAACTAAAAAGAGCAAAATGTGGATATTTTTTTGGTGTAATATTTGTTTTGGTTCGTTCGTCATTGCCACGCCGCGATCCCAATGACATCTTAATTCTTCGATTGATCGTGCCATTCTTCTTAAATATTGCCCGTCACGTGATAGAAGAATCACGGCAAAATAGAAAGTAGAAAATTATTGTGCTATCCATATACACATTGCATGTTTGCACCAAAGATATATATAAACGAAGCAAAGAAAGAGAATTAAATACATATGAAAGAGAATTAATACAAAAGGAACATCTTTGCATTTCTCGAGAACCTTGTCAAATCGCCTACATTTAATTACTTACTCTCTTTGCATTTGCAAAAGGGACAACTTTTTCTCCTTTCATTTGGTTTCACGCAGCTCACGTGTTCCATCGCCCTCGCTTGCTATTTCTTCGTGAACCATAGTTGATGTTATCTGCCTTCCATGGCTCGGCCTCCCAATC